CTACGGCGACCGAACAGCCAACAGCAAAAGCAATCATTAACAAGCTCGCCCGCAGGTCCATCTGCATTCCCCTCTCCTCGCAAATCTTGAAAGTAACGCCCATAATAGCGAAAATGCATTTGGGAGGTTGTAGAATTTGGGGTTCGAAAGGAGTCGAAATAGATCAACGACCAAAACAAGCGATTACGCTTGACGAGCATTAGATGCAGAATATTGCAAGGAGCGCAGGAGTTTGTGCTACTGATCGGGCGCTGAAGTATTGCCTCAATAGGATCTGGAAAGACGATGCGAGCTGCATTGTTCGACCTCATCCTTTAATCTCCAGTTGCCCTCGAAGAGGATCCCCTGCGCCATAAGTGGGAAGCGCAGCCAGACGCTACTACCAGGTGATTGCCGTAGACGTCTAGCACAGCCGATGCACTATGAACGGCCATGTGGAAGTAAGGGCTCCAGCAGAATAACCCTCGATGCCAACCGCATGCATCAAATGACCTATGGCCGCGAGGCACGCCTGAGCATCAGCGAAAGTTTCATTCTGCGATCGCATACATGGGACTTTCCCTAGCTGGTCCCCAATTGAGATGGGCCATGGGTCTACCGCGACAACAATCCACGATACGCCTTATGGCTGGCTACCTCACCTCCAAGACCACTATCTCAGCTAAAACCCAGGCTCTGTCATAAGATGATATCTCCTGTCTTCTTGGATTCGCTTAATATCCTAGTTGTGAGAGCCGCTAAACCGAATGCAGGCAAGCATTGCAAAGGCGAGTGTGGAAAAGCTCCCGAAGTTGGCCGCAGCAGTGCGAGAGAACGGTTCGAAACGTCTCAAAATCTCCTTTCTCCGAAGGACCGCCCGAAATCACATTGCAAAGATAACTCGCCACGTTTCGAGGGAAACTGGCTGGACCACGGTACCACATCCATCGTATAGCTCCGACGTTGCTCCATCGAACTATCCCTTCTACAGCGCTCTGCAGCACCTTCAACAGAAAAAAGGTCATGGAATACCGTGACCCCAAAACCGACCTCTCCAATTCAATCCCTAGATCTGACTGAGGGAGAGATGCATCCACACCTTCTCTTCTCCCTAGCGTTAGCCCCGCGCAGTCGCAGGGTCCGCTGAGAGATGCATCCACACCATCTCCAGCAAATGGGCACATATCAGTGATCGTGATAGTGGTTATGAAGTTGTTCAGATGGTTTTCAGGGAAGTTATAGTTTCTCTGTTTTCTCTCACCATTTTGCTGTGTCACGAAGCCAATACGAGATGGTCGCTGGAAGTCACGTTGGTACCATCATACCACTAGCGCAATGTGATTTAAGGTTCCTGGCAGGAGTTGCCAGTGTTCTTAACAGGGAGACAAATCGCTACGAACATTTTGATACTCGCGCGTAACAATCCAACCTATCAATCACAAATCCACCTTTGAGTAACACAGATTATTAGGGCACGTCATCGCATGAATCTCTCAGATGACTCCGAGTAGAACTTACCAGGAAGTGTTTTGAACTTCCCATGGAACCCCGGAAGTAGACCTATATGTATCGATAGTGTGGAACGCTGATTACAAATATGGACCCCAAAGCTGCTACCTGAACTTGATAAAAAAGTTGTGAGCCTTCACAGTTGGCGAAAAACGCTACTGAGCGAGCTTACTCGAGAGCACAGTCTCTGCTCTGGCAGGGTCACCGCCCGCTTCGAACTCGTTCCGAACGCGGGGGGGCGCATTTGTGTTCCCGGGGGACGAGGCTGTTTTTGGGGAAAAGTGGGGAGTTTCGGAGTTTTAGGTAGGTTTTGGGCTGTGTCAACTGGTCTCAGAATCAAATACTATAGAAGAGGGAGAGGTCGCGGTGGAGGAAGGCTGGTTGTATTGGGGGGTCGCAACTGTGTGTTGGGAGGGGTCGCAACTGGACCCTCTCGAGAGGGGGGGGTCGCAAAAATCCCGAAAATGTTCGAACGTGACGGTTGACCCTGCTCTGGGCCAAACGAGTTTTATGTTCGTAATCAGGCACCCATTTACCTTATAGAACAAGTTCCAGGCAAAAAGCAACCGTGTTTCCACATAGTTGCACCTCATCATTAGCGTTCTTTTGCAACTTTTAAGGCTCACAACTTTCTTACAAAGTTCACGTAGCAGTTTTAGTGTCCATATTTGTAATCAGCGTCCAAGACTCTATCGATGTACCTAGGTCTCCTTTCAAAGTTCCATGGGAAGTTCAAAACATTTCCTGGTTAGATTGTGCACTGAGAGAAACACAGTTGCAGATTTCTGACTGAGGAAGCTACTTGATATCGATGAAGAACATTACCCATCCCGTTACGATCTCTTGTTATAGTTCCCGTTTTGAGAGGCAAATGTCATTTCTCTTGCTATAATTCACCGACTTTGTTCGATACGACTTTGAGGAGGAGTGAGCTTCCCCAAATTTTACGAATCATCTTCCCCTTCGAATATATTCACCCCTCTGCTGCTGCTTTCCAGTTACTTCCATCAATATTTTACTTCTCTGCACCTCTTCCTAGTACTCCTCTTGCTACTTTTCCTTTTTGCTTCTCCACCAATGGCTATTAAATTACTTCTGTTCACGTGAACTTTGTCCTTTCATACAATCTATGTAGTAATGCACTTTCATTTTTTCATGCTATTTAATAGGCCATTAACTGGTCTTTGAAGAATCGTCCCATCTGCAACAAAACCTTCGAAAGTATTAAGGTCAACTCAAATAACGACGCTCTTCCTCACCCTCAACTCTGTCACTGTTCGAGCTTCGAATTGGTTGTGAAAAATACGAGGACTTTCAGTAGAAATGCCCTGGAAAGCTGCGACGTCAAAGAAAGACCTCAAACAAATGTAAGTTAACATTCTTCACGTCAAAGGAAAGCAGCTTTTCCATGAAGAAGATTTTGGTCATAAGTACTCAAGTGGTACAATTTTCTGGCTACGCAGATGAGATATTGACACAGGTTTTTCAGTCTGCCATCAAAATTGGCGCGTAAACCACAAATTTGTCGCCTCTGGCCTTCTCTGAAATTTCGAACATTCCTGGAAATGAGCCACGCCCATAATTAATACGCAAGCTCTTCATGATGCTCGTGAAAGTCATTGTGTGAACGTACACTTCGCCATGCTGTGAGAACCAGGATCAGCTGTCCGTTGGCACTATTCGAATGAGTGGTCGCACTAGTGATTTCGGGAGGGGGGAGGTGCACTTTGGGGTTGAGTGAAGTTAATGGTCTTTTGAGAGAAGTGGCGAACGGGGGTTGATATTTAAAAGGGAAGGTGCCATTCATGGATGTTTTGACGAGTTTGCTGCAAATTCTACGAAAGTAGCGTGATAGCGCGAAGTGATAAAAGTGGGAGACTTGCCGCTTCACTTGCCCCCCCCCCGATTGCTGACTGCGTTATACTATAGTACCATGATGGGGGGCGAGGGTGAGAGGCGGTGGAGAAGAGGACGGAGAGAGGTCTAGTGAGGTAGTCCCCAAGTTATGGGGTGATGGTGAGGCGTACGCATTAAGCTTCTAGGGGATAGAGTCGCAAAACCTTTGAAAAAAGTGCGAGCGAGACTGCTGACCCTTATGGGATCACTATGAAACCATCCTCTACTGACGTTGAGTTGTTCCTATGAGCAACTATGAAAGCGGTTCCATCTGTGCACGTGCACACTAACGGAATTCTTCCGCACTGCTTCGCTAAAACGGTAATACGACATTTGATCAATCGAGCTTAATGAACAAGTGAAAGCAGAGCGGCAGAACTGATACTAGGCCGTTGTAGATCCCCGCCATCAGTTGAATCGCTCTCGTCCTTTGATGAATTATGGAACTGAGATGTCTTCGCCATTGAATGTGTACAAGAGAAGTGTACGTGGTATTTTTGCCTCCCAGGGTAGACACTAAGAGCGCTCGCATTGGTCTGAGAGAGAGCATCGTTCCACTAACGGCTTGAATACCTTGTGATCACGTCATCCGAGTCAGTAGCCACTAGAAAGCCATGACATACATGTTGAAAATTCGACGTTGACCATTTTTTGGAATGCGACACGCATTCTACATCTTTTCGGGTCCTTGTGACTTCGCACAATAAAGTAATCTGTGGCGCAGCCGATCTGCAAGTGAGTATTCTCTCCTTCCAAGCAAGTTTGGAACATTCACCCTACGGCGAACTGAGTGAAGTGCTTGACTTGACGTGTGACCCAGGATGTGATTATGGCACCATTCATGTGAAAAGCGGTGCGACCTGCCGCTATGTACGTCACTTCCGCGCTTTCTAGGGACCATAGATGGGCAGAATTGAAAACGAAAACTCCTCCGATTCTGGAGTACTACCAGGAACTTGAAGCAGAACTACTATGTATTGCAGGAAGTGTGCTGAAGCTGAAGAGTTGTTGTATGAAACAGTGTCCCGATCAGAAGTCCTTGGGCCTCACCTGAAGATTTGAATGTCATCAGTTCGATCCTGGTCTGGGGCAATATTTACTGTAATCTAGATGTAACAAATGCTTCATTTATTGTTCAGCAAATGGATGTGCGCCTACCCCATCGGGGGTATAGCTCAGGGGTAGAGCGCTCGCTTTGCATGCGAGAAGTCTGGGGTTCGATTCCCCATACCTCCACAACTTTTGCTTAGTTAGTGTACACGTTTATATAATGGGAAACTACCGTAATTATCATCACAATTGCGCCTGTTTTGAGGCAGTTTTTTAGGGCAAGGTAGGATTGCGTGGCCAATTGATTGATGATAACTAGCGTTTTCCCCATTGAAACGATAAAGCATCCTTCCATTGCTCCATCTGCGTTGAGCTCGACTTTCTCACAATTCGTGGTTTTCTATTAATTCGGAATGCGTTTCGAATATTATAAGGTCAAACTTCAGAAAAAATGGACCCCCACCTTCGACGGGTCGCCTGCCGAGCCCGAGCGTCATAAGCGTGACGGATCCGTTCAGAAATCCCGGAGGAATTAGCTGGTTTGTTGCTGCTCTTTTTGTAGTGGACGACATGGCTGGAGGTGGTCTCGTAACGATTCCAACAGCTATGGTCCGAACAGGTAAGATACTACCATGCCAAATGAGTCTTCAAGAAACTTGGTGGTCGGAAACTTTGCCGTCATGGCCTAACTGAAAATTTAATAAGCGAAGAGATCGGGGACAGGGTAAAATCATGTAGGGGAATGACCGTGTTTTGACGCCGTTCTGCCCCTGATGGAGGTTCTAATGCGACCTCCTTTTATCTTCGTCACATGCGGCTTTATGGCAAAAAAAACTTAGTTTTAGTTGCACGAGAGGGAGGCAGCGCCGGTGCTACTCAAATGTTGCGCAGTTCAAACCCTAAACCTACTTTTGCTTCTCCTTCTTCCCTTTCGAAATAATTTAGTCTATGCCACACCAGGCCTGGATCAATTATTTAATCGTCCAATTCGGACTATTCGTAGTTCTAAGTGAAGATTTCACACATATATAAGCCACTCTCATTATGCGTGGAATACAATCTACTACATGGCGCATCGCCAGAAAGCGATTGGACAGCTTGCATATCATCCTATTTCCCCTATTGAGACCGCAGGACTTATGTCACTCTGCAGAATATGATAGAAACCTTCAGTATGCATAAGAATCTCTTCAAGGATCTGAATGCAGGGCAGAACACTCCGTCGGCAAGACTCAAATCCGGTTCCGTGTAGTCCGGCAGGAGTGGGTCCTTCGTGCGTACTTTAACGGTTTTACGACACTGCCTCATGACATAGATCCCTCTTCGAAAACAATTTGCCCCAATTACCGTCAAGGGGGGTATATACGCGCGCTCACGACCCCCCGTTGCTACTTGTAGCAACATAGGGTTGACCCTGGTCCCGGCTGAGGCAGACTTTTGCCCACAACTCAGCATTCCTATGATAACTTTCACATCGCGTGCTGTGCTATGTACTAGGAACTAGAAACCGCATGTAATTCTGTCATTAATCGTATTTGATCGAAGATCGAATCGAAGATTTGTACGGTGTTCTTACTTATGCGTACAAACCAAGGTCTAAACACCGTTCATATAAAAGTGAAACGCTCTCTGGGCCTTAGCTGGATTGTTCGCTAATTGTAACTGTATTACCTCTAGTAGAACTTATACGTTTAGTATTATACTTATGCATTTAGGTTGAGCGATAAATTATATTAGAAAGCATTTCCAATTCAGAACCATACGCAATTGATAACGCTCACCGGTAGGCTCCGCGTACATCGCAGACAACAATCAAAAAGTGTTTTCACCGACTCAAAAAGCTAATCGCTAGATAATCATTTCCAAACATCGAAGGTTTGCTCTGCTTGGGTGAGCTCTGATCTGTCTGAGGCCAGTGGTCGCACAAATCTCTACGTAAGATAACACACAACAACTCTCTCCAACAAAAGAAAGGCATTCGTTATCAGCCCATAGTAGGTACGTGACCGATTACACGTGTTCTTATAACACGGAAAGCACAGAGTAAACAGAATCATATCAACTGGAGGGCTGCAAAAAACATCGATAACCTTCAAAAGATGCGCTCGATACAATAGGCAGAATCATTGAGGCCTCACAGAAATGTGAATATAACTGCCTAGAACAGCTCAAAGGTTTGGTCAGAAACAGTTTCGACATACAGCTGAGGGACCCACTCATACACATTTGTTACAAAAAATTGTCCCATGGATATTCTCTCTATTTGCGGAAAAGTGCTCGCTTTTTGCTTGCCCGCTCTTTTTGCTACACAGAAATGTACTAAATTTCTAATTTAATTATTTAATTCTAAGTCAATCATAATTCAGATTTTTCTGACAAAACAAAATAGCCTTCTATTTATAAACCGCTAACTTGGTGTGTCGGTTTGTATGTATGTCTGTATGTATGTCTGTCCGTCCGCAAAATGAAGTGAGTGATAAGGAAGCTAATGGAATAAACAAGCCGCTAACAAATCTGGTAGCTCGCAGGACTTGAGCTATCAATGTTTTGTAATGGCAGTTGATTGACCCAACGGCTATAACAAACACCTACTAGTCTTTACAACACTTCAGTCCTTTCCACAAGGTGCACTGGAGAGCATTGGAGAGAGGAGGTAAGGATAGGAGGAGCAACGCAAAGCTTACCGGCCGCAGGGAAGCCGAAGGTGCAGGCGGTTGCCGGGGAACTCTGGTTGTAACAATCACAACTGTAGGGTTCAATAATAAATAACAAATGAGCAAGAACATCATCAATGCACACGAGTCTGAACTTCTTCAAAAGTCAAGAAAGTCTGAACTTCTTCTGGGCGAAACTTCTGAAGGATTTTGAAGATACTGATCACGATGACTAGAATGCAGAGCGTGATGATGTCATTGTGTTGTTGGATAATTGCTAGGGCGCATGGTGAAAATCGTGAGGAGAAAATGACCACATCTTCACGCGATTGCAGCGCATAAATTGAAAAATTGCTCAATGTTTCCCGTATTTGGTGGTCCATAGCTTTCTTCAGTGACAATCATTTCAGAAACGGAAAGCAGAATCTGAGCGGTGACGACTGATTTTCTTAATTGTATACTGACACGAGCTTTGTGCAAACGTGTCGTGCCGAGTATCGACGTATGTAGAAAGTTGAAGTTTACGTGCGACATTTAACTTTTAGAAAGGCGATAACCTTGAATAGCATTTTAAAGGATAAAGGATAAAGCATTTGCCGTTGATCAATCCCTTTTTGGGATGCGGCACGCATTCTACTTCCATTTGTACATTCGTAGTGGCGTTTGAATGCGATGTGGCCTATACAATGACTTGCGGGGGCCAGCCGATGTACAAGTCAGTGTTTTTATCCTCCCAGACAAGTCTGGTACCAATTAACCGACCCCGGAGGGATGGAAGGCTTGGTTGGCCCGCGACTCACGACCCAGGATTTGATCCCGGACCGCTCGCGTGGTAAGCGCGCCACTTGTCACTACACCACTTCCGCCCATTTCTTATACCTTAGCATTTTTTATGGTCTAGAAAAATAACTGCGAAGAAGAACTTTCTGATAGGTACTGCAACTGTTTTATATATTTCTGGTTCGCGAGAATCTGGCTCTACTGATGGAGATACCGAGCCAATCGAGAATTCCTTCGCCGACGCAAACTTCATTCAAGACCCTCAATTTGCTTCTAAATGAAATACATCGCTTCGATGGAGTCAATAGGAAACTGCTTACCTCCCGTAGATCCATTCCGTCCTGGTATGCGCCATGCAGTGGCACCACTCGATGCCGTTTGAAAGGTGTTTTGTTCACGCGATGGCTTGTAAAACGAAAGTTGTTTTCAGCGTTGACTGGTCAGAACAACTCTTATGCCCATAGAATCACTCCTTCATTTACGTCACTTCTTTACCACTCCGATGAATGCATTTGCGGCTGCAGTGTGTGATGATGTCGAGAAGGCTGCGAATCTTCCCCTTTTGACTTTCCTACTGATTCTACTCTCCTCCAGTAGGCTCTCCACAAGCAAGTAACATTGATTTAGAGTACCTTTCTACTCGCACATTGGATACGATTCTTTTTGTGAGGCTAGTTTTCTTTCTATGTTATGGAACCGATAACTACTAGGGAAGGTAACAAGCGTTTTTCATTTAAATTCTCATGTCGGGCAGTTTCACGATACCATCAGCTTTACCCAATTGAAGAACATAAAATTGGAGATGGCCGATGTCAGACTTTGCACATCACTCGATTCGCAAAGTCTGACATCGGCCGTGGCTGGGTTTATGTCAGCTGGCACGGAAAACAGCACAGTGGTAAGTATTGTAACTTGTTCCTGCTCAATTTACGATAATCTTACTAGCCCAGTTTAGCAAGAATTTTCTTAGAACCTATCCGAATTTGTCTAAAAATAAGAATACTAAATGAAATAAAAATAAAACATGGATCTAATAACGCTGACCTGCTATGAGAGCATTGTTCACCACCCATAGACGTGTCACAGAGTCAACCCTGCGTTGCGCAGTTCTCAACGGCCACGTTGCGCAGTTTCGCCCGATTAGACACGTTCTCTCGCGCGAACATTCACACTCGCATGCTCGAGCCGTCTGTGTCTCCGCCCATACAGCGTGCGTTGAGGATCTCTCAACGTGCCGTTGCGAACTGCGCAACGCAGGGTTGACTCTGGGTACACTTCGATCGCGTGGCGGTCGAGAGCACGTTGCGCATCCCAGAAATTTGTGAGCAATAAGGATTTCACTCAGTATAGTTCTACAATTCAGACTTCTACGTTGGCTTCGCTCTATTCTTACTACTTATGTGTGTCACGATGTACACAGCGTACGCACTGGGACAGAGCTGGAATATTCTGCTAAACACGTGGTCAATCTACAGAGTGCATTGCCGGAAACCGTATGCATCCATTGGCTATCGGGCAATGGGCGCTAACGCCAGGTAAGACTGAACCTCGAGTATAGATCCATCAAAAATCTCAGATCGATCCATAGTGCCCCTCAAATTAGCGTGAAGAGAGTTTTCCTCATGCAAAAATAAGAAAGGGGAAATTCTGGCAAGTATTTTGCCAAGCTCTTACAGCACCAGAAGCCAACTCAACAACAACTCAGTTCGAAATGATTCTCCTGCATTTGGCAAGAGCGTTTCCACAAAACGTTGCATACAAATGATCTTTAGTTTTCTCATGCGCAACCTCAACTATGTGAAACGGGTGTGCTTTCCTTCCACGCAATGCACAATTGTGACACTTTCTTTGAAAAATTCTGCATCGACTTTATTGCTGCGGGCTTTATTTTTGGGAATTTTTTACAGCCACTGAGGTTTGTTTCAGTGCAAAACAAAGGCATGAAGAAAATATAGCGAACCCTCGTCGGTGCTGAACATAAAATATGGCTCATCATCAGTTCCTCCCTATTGAACGCGCTTGCGGACATCGGATTTCCTCTTCATATGTACGATTATTATAAGATAGTGCTGCTTGAGAATGCCACTGGAAGTTCCGGCACTATTTACTCTACCCCACTCCTCGAAAACTGGGCTGGATTTTTATCAAATTTATCCATGACTAAGGATTTGGCTAGAAAGTTGTCTCCGGGGTATTTCAACCCGTAGAAGACGAACGCGACATTGGTTTAGCGCGAAAACGCTTGGCGCCCGCGCCACGTGCACCGGCGCTATCACATCAAGGGAAATGGACCCTCTGCCTAAAGCTCAGATGGAGAAGCTCTGGTGCAGGAAATTGGATAGGATGTAGGGAGGATGTGTGGAATCTAGGACATTTATCGGTCCTTGTCAAGAGCACGCTTTAAATGAGTCGTTTAGCTTTATCTTCCATAGCGTTAGAGAGCCCAAAGGAAAGGTGCGTGACAATACAATCGTGGCAGTGCTAGATCGCACGTCTGAACTCCAGTCACAGCCGATGATGTCGCAGCGGCGTTGCTGGAATTCAGCATTAAAATATTGGGAATGTATGATCAAATGAAGGTTCCAATTATGAAACATAAAATAGGAATCACCTTACCCGTTGAAGCAGGTTCTTCGTCCCTTGCCATTACTATTAACTTATGCTATCATGCTTATGTTAGAGCCTTCCTCACCGTTCCTCTGTGTCTTGATACGCAATATTCTTTCCGATTGAACCAGATTATCACTCTCTGATAGAAATTCAGGAAACTGATTAATAAAGAAGTCAAATTAAATCCAAAAGGACAACCTTTACACGGTACAAGTTTGTACTGTGAGGCTTAAATCACTGCGGAGATCTTGAAGTGACGCTAGTTGGCTTACTGATGTTAGCACTCTTTTGTCACTTAACACTAGCCAACTTAATCAGACATGAATGTATGCAAATCCTCACATAATATCCACCGTCCAAACGCCGCGGCGCAGGAACGATTTCTCGCCGCCGTGAGCAGGGACATGCCCCCTCATTAGCTGACGGTTAAATTTACCGTCTCCTCCCCCTCCCCCCCCAAAGTGCTCTCTAGTAAACGGATTAGCTAACAAGTGTGCCCTCCCTCGCCCACACCCTCCAAATCTGGGTCGTCATCCCTTTCCCCAAAATACGCTAGAGAGACAACTAAAAAGGTATGCACATGACATGCTTCTAAAGTAAGTTTGCGATTTCCTCCTCAATGAAAAAAAAATAGAACAAAAACAAGTTGAGTTGAAAACATCGAGACAAAATGGTAGTTGCCACCCATTTCGCGTCTCAGGAGGCCAAACATGGTAATACAATCGTCCTTCCTATCTCCTCTCAAAAGACCGACGTAAATATGCATGTACAGTACACCGCCACCGCCTCCTGCTCCATAATTTTTCAGAAAGGTCGTCTCTGTTATAATCGATGTCACGCAGTTTGGAGTAGCAACCGTGTATTTGCTGCTATCCGCCAAAAATATTCACGATATGGTCAAGGTGAGGAAGTGCAGCGACATTGTGACTTCATGCTCGCCTGCTAGAGAAATGATTTTTCAGACGTTCACCAATACGGAATTCAGCTACTGTATTGTCGTCCTAATAGTGGCAGTGTGCCTGTTGCCAGTTACTTATCTTAAATCTCCTCAAGATTTCTGGTTAGTGTCTCCTAGCAAAACATTGTTGATACAGTGATATCTTTAAAAGATGTAGAACGCAGAACGCAAGTAAGTTCGATCCCTTACAGGTTACACTATTAAATCTCTACTATTTAATACCGAGATCAGTGTGTTCAGGATGCTTGACTGCCCTATTAGACTTCTAGTCGTCGGCTTGTTCGCCTTCTGTGGGAGCGTAAGGAAAAACAGGTCGTGCAGCACTCATATGGGGGGCAAACTTGCTACCAAGACATGTCCGATGATGGGCAGAGCCCGACCAAATGGGAGCGGAGTGGTGCGAAACCCTCAGCTCTGTGCAGTGGAATCTCCGTTCTCATGCTAAGAGAAACCATAGGATTTAAAGGCAAGCTTCGGGATAAAATGGGTGTGGAAAAGCGTTCAGTTATGAATCTAGAGGTGGGAGGTGGTCTGGAAAAGGAAGGAAAGCAAACGAAACCACCGATTCACGCCCTAAATAGGAACCTCTTCTATTTCAGCCGCAATCCACCTTGGGATAAAGAAGAGGCGTGTTGGACGAGTTTCACGAACCTACTTCAGTTGCTCCAGTGCCAATGACACGGCCGCAATGGGACCGCTGCCTCAAATGCGCTTTTCAAGCAGCGCCACGTGGCAACCGACAGCGGAGGGTGGGGCTTGCGGACGAAGGTGTGAGTTGCGGGTCGGACGAGCTCCTTGCGCCTTTGTCGCGCACTTTCAAGCGGCAAAAGGGGCGCGACATCAACACTTGTCCGCCTGTCTACTACCCCCGGGATGGAACAGGCGAGCGCGCCTAATCCCGGAGCGTGCCTTTAAAGGCAGCGATTATGATATGGAAGAATCGCATCGGGGAGGCATATGGGCCCCCAAAAGCGATCCGCCCACTAGTTTAGTTGGTGATTTGGACGAGCTGCGTCGTCAGCAGCTGCACAACTGGAGCAACTCGATTGGACCGTGGTTTGG